TTTTCCCTCTCCCGATCTGGCTAATCTACATGCCTCCGTCGAAGGAGGCATGTAGTCTAGACACACCCAGAGTGTGGTCATGCCTTGGGTTTAGTCTGCAACCAGCTAGGCTCTTCAACTTCAGTACCTCTTTTTTCAGGGCTGCCTACCACATATTTTAATATATACCACTGGTCAGACTGTTGCAAAGAAATCAGTGATGCTGAAACTCACAAAGTAAGAGAGGTGACAATATATTATTCAGATTTTGAATAGGATTTAAAGCTTTATCCTGTAAGAAGCATGTGTGTGAAGATGGACAAGGTGACAATGCAATAAATCTCACCTTATTAACAAACAATTGTCTCGCCTCTTTTGTATTTTTATCTATATCTGTGTGTATTCAGACTTCAGGGGGGAAAATCTTCTACCAGAGTTCTGTACCTTTTGTCTTTACTATGCTGTTTGAGCCTTTTAAAAAATGTTTTGAGGTTTTAATCTTATTTTGAGGATTTGATTTCCCCTTTTATTTTAACTAGATCTTAGCTGTAATTGCAAATCATGGGAAGAGAGATGGTGCACGGGAGTTGTTAAGTAGAATAATAAAGAAGAAAGACTGGTTCTCTCCATTTTTGGATGCCCTGCGTGAAACTAAACATGGACACCTTGCAGATGAACTATGTGGAAATATACAAGGTACTGGTAATTATGACTGTTTAAATTATGACTGTTGACCAGTTTGCTTTTTGGGTCTGTACTGAGTTCTTGTGCCTAATTCCAAAATTGACTTCAGTGGGAATACTTATTTAAGGATTACTCATATAAGGGTGTCAGGATAGGGCTCTTATTTCTTATTCAAGAGACTTTTAAACACATAACCAGACAAATAACAAATTTAGTGAAGAGTAACGATTTAAAATTATAATTCAGTTGCATATTTTTACCCAACCTTTATTAACTTTGTTTTGAATACAGTATTTTTTAAATCCATACAATTTTCAGCACAAAGGCGTTCTGGAAATTGTTTTTTATCAACACAAAATGACAGAGTTTTATCCACAAAAGTTTATGCCCTAAAAAATCTATTACTCTCTAAAGTGCCATAGGTCTCCTCATAGTTTTTGCAGTTACAGGCTAACATGGATACCTCTCTGAAACAAAATAACAGTTTCAGGTTTCTTGCACATTAGAAAGGTTCATGTCTTCCTAAGAACTACTAGTTACAAATGCATGTACTCTTGAAGCTCTCCTGTATAGGTAAGATAATCAGAGGTCTCAAATATTTAATACAATAGAGGAAACAAATACTTAGTTCATTCTTGTAATTGACAAAATTGAAAGAGCCTTAGTGTTTCAGCTGCTAGTAACTATATAACCACAGAACGACTGTAATGTTTTAGGATCATCCTTTCCATATTGCTGACTGGGATTCTGCAACAGCTAAAACAGCAGCAGCAACCCAGATGTCTCTTCTAAGATTTAGACTGTACCAAGCACATACTGGGACATTTTAGAAGTTTTTAGGGCTTTTAGAAGTTCACGGCCAGATTTGTTAAATCTACTTGTCCAGGAAGGTCCAAATTTTTTTCCATCAGTTTTCTGAACTGTCTCCCCATCCCCATCTTCCCAGTTTGAACATCTGAGGAAACACTAGCTCTAAGGATATGTATGTAGTTAGCCTCACCTGGTGAATTTCTATGGCTCTGATTAGAATAGTCCAGGCTTCTAATGGGGCATCTCCCTGCTAGTAGCAGGATCAGCCAGATCCCAGCAACCCTGGGCAAGCAGCCACTGGTTGCAGGGATTAGCAACCCAACCACCACCCTATGCCCAGTGCAGGACAGTGAGCAGCTAGGTAGAGCATCAAGGAGTCACCCCAGAATGATGCCAGAGCCAGCTAATAGCATATTTGTTCCTAAAGTTCATTCCATACAGCAGCTTTCTCAGATGTAAGTTCTAGTAACCAGGACACTTGCTGTCATTTATGTAAACAGTATAATGCATATTCCTCATATGTAAATTCAGGTATTGCATTATTCAGTGTACAAACTCCAGATTTTTGAACATTCAGCTTTAATGTTAGTCTATGCAGATACTGTGCAGGATGAAAAATGCAATAAGGCGTTTATTTGGTGCACTGGTGAGGCCAGATCTACACTACACACTTTAGTAAAATGACATCATTTAATAGTGTGAAAAATCCTTACCACTGAGGCTGACTTGCCCACTTTTTCTATATGGCTACATCTAGACAGCAAGCTTCTTTCAGAAGCTTTTCTGGAAGAGATCTTCTGAAAAAACTTCTTCTGAAAGAGAGCATCCACACTGCCAAAACGCATAGAAAAAGCGATCTGCTTTTTCTAGCTATCTCACTTTTAAGCTGTGATTACTATGGACGAAGTAGCCACCTGGGCACCTGTGCTTTTTCCTCTTTCCTCTTCTTTCAAAAGAACTCCCTCTTCCCCGTCCACACACGCCTTTTTCCAAAAGTGTTCTTTTGGAAAAAGGCTTCTTCCTCATAGAAGGAGGTTTACCAATGTCAGAAAAAACCCTCTGTTCTTTGGTTTTTTTTTTTTTTTTTTTGAAAGAACATGATTTCAGTGTGGACGTAAGTGAAGTTTTTTGGAAAGTTTTTTGTAGACATAGCCTATGGCTCCACAATTGTAAGGACAACCAGTACTCTAAAAGACTCTCCATTATTGATGAGTAGTCAAGAACATTGTTAGAAAAAGAGAGGTGATAAAATTTTGTATCTCCACCCTCTGTTCCCAAATGACTTTTTAATGGAAAACGGTCCCCAATTAGAAAGCTTAGTCATTTATTTTATTCATTTATTTACATTTTTGTTTTTAAAAAGTGGGCTTGGTTTGTAGGATTATTGGATTACTAGTGTGGAAAACTCCAGAGTGTAGTTTTCTCCTGTGTTTCTGTTTAGATTACTCATATGTAATTCACAAACTGCTTTGTTGTTACTGATGAGTATTCTGACATTTATGCTCTTGGTGTACCCACACTGAAAACTAAAAGTACCGCAAGGGATGTGTCTCAAAGAGGCATGGTCTTTTCATTGAAATGAATGCAGATCAATGACAGAACATTATTAGACTAAACTGACTATTATGTTTTCTGTATTTATGGACCCACGTTATAATACTGGCTGAATCCTGCTCACCTTTATGTCCATGCCACCCCTTTCACTTTAGCAAGTGTATACAAGTGTAATGGAAAGCAGAATCTGGTGTGTTACTTTATTTACAGACCTCAATACATCAAATACTTTCTAGAAATGGTGACAGTAAGTATTATAAACATAGTGAGTGCAATTTTTCAGTGTACGTATCTGAAAATATCATCTATTCTAAATCCTATATTTGGACTAAGGATGTAATAGTGTAGTCGATTAACTGATAAGCAAAAGCTTATAGGTTAATGCTCTAGGCTACATGCATTTCTCCCCCTCCCCCTCCACCACCACCCTGCCAGTAAATTTTTTAGCAGGCTGGCCAGCAGCCTGGCTCAGTCCTGGCTCTCGCTGGGTCCGGGACCTACTCCCACTGCATCTCTGCATTTAAAATGTAGCCTCCCCCCACAGGGCCCCCCCTGCCACTCCACGCTGCTGCCTCTGTATCAGAGGCAGCAGCACGGAGTGGCAGGGGTCTCCTCGGGAGTGGGGCCGGAGCACACTGTCTGCTGGCCCCACCCTCAGGGACTATAGAACAGTCGAGTAACCGATAATTCATGAGGTTAATCAACTATTCAATTAACCGATATTTAACATCCCTAATTTGGACCCGATATTTAACATCCCTAATTTGGACCCGATATTTAACATCCCTAATTTGGACCCGATATTTAACATCCCTAATTTGGACCCGATATTTAACATCCCTAATTTGGACCCGATATTTAACATCCCTAATTTGGACCCTAAGTCAACACATTTACTTCCCTACGTGCTGACTCAGACATGGAAATATGAGATTAGGATTTCTATTTAGTTGCTTGCGTTTGGAGAGTGGGCTCCATGTTTCAATGAAAACAGCTTATTTTGTAATGCAGTTCAAATTGTGTTACTTTTCTAGAAACTGAAAATAAGGAAAATGAGATCAAGCTGCCAGCAACTACAGATGAGGATGTGGAAGCTGAAGAGCCACTGGCCTCTGCAGTAGGGGAGGAGTTGAAGCAGAGAGATGAAATGAATGATAGTCTGGCCAATGAGAGCATTATATTAAAAACATCTTTTGAAGACACTTCTGTAGTTTCAGGTAATTGAATAATTGGTACTTTTTGTTTTAGCATTTCACATAACTTGACAAACTTCTGGCATTAGAAGTAGCTTGAAACCAAGATATGTCAAACATCAGATATAAATTTGTTTCCAATGAACTCTAGCAGTGCTAATGGCATAAATGAAAAAGAGAAAGTATGCCCCTCTGGTGGAAGTAGTAAATTCCCATCCCACTCCCCAATGCATATTTACAGTAATATAAACAACTTATGCATTTGGGGGCAAATTCTTCAGCCTTTGTTCTGTCCTTAGGTAAAATTATCACTTTAATATAATGAGAGATCCAGCACGATAAGGCATGATTAAAAACTGCCACACTTGAACTGATTAAATAAATGCAACTAGAAAAAAATCTCCTTTTGAGGCAGCAGTCGGGGGTCCAGGAGCAGTTTTGTTGACACAAGGTAGAATGCTTTGGAACAGGCCCACCTG